GGACTTACAAACAACCGTTATGTGAACAAAACTATAATACTCTATTTAGAAACTTTGTTGAGAGAGTATAATTATCATACGATAGATCAGACAGTCTAAAAACGTAGGAGGTGGAATGTTCAAAAAAAAGGAAGGAACCCTGTTTTTTTTATAAGATATATTTTTTAATATTTCCATCAACCAAGGCCAACTTTCCAACACCATAATGGGAAGAGCTTCGTCAGACCATTCGACTCTCCCCTTACAACTCTTTGCATTCCATCTGAACCGAGGGGTTGAATTTTTGATTAACCTGAAAATATGGCTTTTATCCAACTGTCTGTGAACCAGATTTTGTGCAGTTTAGGCGCAGTTTGGATTTCATTCAGTTTTTGAAATATGTTAGCAACAACAATAAAAAATATGAGCTATAGAAATATGAACCTATGAGCTTATCGGATCCCGCTAGTATATATGGTACTGTCAGTGCTATCGTAGAACGATTTTTGCAAGCTTATCTGCTTGCTTGCTGAAAACAGGCCCAACTAATTTGAACCGAAGTGATAGCGGCAGCTGTGACGGTGGTGAAGTGTGCAGTAGTTGACAGTAGGCGTACATATATTAGGCGTTGTCAGTGCGTCCTCTTCACTAATTTTCGTTCACATTGCCGGTTTTCCGTTTTTTTAGACTTTCTGCTTATTTGGTTGTTGTTCTGTGTACAGCGTGCAGTTTTTGTTGCTTCACTGCTGCAGTTGATGAGCAAAAAATTCAAATTACCAGCGAGAAATGTGAGTTTGCCTCACATGTCGGTTGGTCGTTCGGTTGGCTGCGTCGAAATGTGCAAGGATGCAATTAGGTTCTGCGCTGTTTGTGTTTATATATCTTCACATGTACACACGCCTATGTATGTATACATATATACTCATTGTATATATACACACTCTCACGGGAGTTGTTGTGCTTTCGTAGGGCTGACGTTGCCTCTGATGGGTATACTGGTGTTGTTGCGGCGCTTGTTTATTATTTCTGACCATAGTCCGAATACGGCAACGGAGTACTGCCAAATTGATGCTGCTGCATTACCACAAAGTTTTCTAAAGCTGCATATAGTCAAAATTATGTAAGGATGCAGTACATATGTCTTAGATGGAAAGTAGCAAAGTTGAGAATGACCAAAATAGAGAAAAGCGTTAAACTTCAGTTAATATTCTTGACCCTTTTATTTTTAAACGAAGAACATTATCTACTATGTACAGTATTACAAGAAACATTTTCCCGTTTGTCTAATGCCGTAAAGGCAACAAAAATTCTCATGAAAAAAGGAAAAACTGACTGATTTAATTCTAAAGGCTGATTGAAACCTAAGGAAAAGTAATTATTTTCATTCGAAAGGACATCCTCTGATGATTTTTTTTTTAAGATACTTTCAAAAGTTGACCATGGCTACGTCTCAGATGATTCATCCATTCAATCGAATTTGTAATTTACCTGGTAACTGGGGAATGAACACGTGATGTTTTGCTCCAAGACCTGAATCGAAGCGGTATTGTCCGCATAGACTTTAGAGTTAACGTGTCCTCACAGTAAAAAATCTAACGGCCAATCTACCGGCCCAAAATGTAAAATTATCCGCTCACCAAAGTGTTCTCTCAATAAATCCATTGATTGTGTGGTGACGTCTAGTTGAAACTAAATGTCATCGAGATCACGAGCCTTCATAGCGCGATAACGATCGCTATTGACAGTTGACCAGCATCATTGTTGAAGAAATGTAGACCGATGATTCCTCCGGCCCACAAATCAAACCGTTGGTGTTTTGGTTGTTCTTCGCCCAAATGTGGCAATTTTGTTTTCTTCATTGAGTCAGAAATGGGCGCCATGGCCCGAAAACGTCGAATCTTCTTGGAACTTTTAAAAAAAGCCCATGAACGAAGCGATATCGCTTGGGAAGGTCGAGTGGCTTCAGGTTTTGCACAAGCTGCATTTTGCACGCTTTCATTTTAAGATGTCGACGTAAAATGTAGAAAATAAAAGTTTTTCGATACGTCAGTCAGAGTTCTTGCCAACCTTCGCCGAATCGACTCTACATGGTCTCTGTGTATACACTCCGCTTCGTCTGGTATATTTTATTCCCTGCGCACTGAACGTGGTCTACTTGTATTCGACCGAACATTATCCAATAAAGAATGCTAGGTCTAAAAATGGGTATTGGTGTTGCGAATAGTAAGCTCGGTAGGACGATTATGTTGACCGTAAATTGAGCGAAGTGCGCAAAAACACATTCCTTATAAATATGAATTTTCGTAATCAAATAATTTTTGATGTAAAGTAAGCAAAAGCTTTGTAAACGTTGTTCAGGCGAAAGGTTTTTCATGATGAAATGCCAAATAATAATGTGGCAACGTGACACGATCCACGCATGGTCTATCAACCAGAAGCTATTGAAAAAAGTGGCTCTATTGGATCATCCGTTATAATAGAGGGTGGCTGATGAAAGTCGCTACAAAAAAAAAAAAAAAAAAATTAAATAACTTTTTTTTCTATTTAGAGAATCTGGTTAATTTTTATTTTTTTATTTTGCAGATTGACTTTTACATTTAACAAAAATGGATAACTGGGACACTGAAACCAGAATTTGGATTGCCCGCCGCTATCACGCACTGGATTACGTAGTTTCGGTTCAAAGAGAGTATAGGCGCATGTTTGGCGGAAATCCTCCGAGCAGATGGATCATAATGGGACCTGTAAACAATTTTGCCGAGCATGGGACAGTCAACAGAAGACYYTRMSATBGAAACCCTTCAGTTCGAACGGAGGAAACAATCGCTGCTGTAGCTGCTGCCATACAAAACAATCCACGTGTTTCGACAAGAAGCTTATCTGCTCAAATGGG